TGGAAGGATGGATGGATGGATGGAAGGATGGATGGATGGAAGGATGGATGGAAGGATGGATGGAAGGATGGATGGATGGATGGAAGGATGGATGGATGGAAGGAAGGATGGATGGATGGATGGATGGATGGATGGAAGGATGGATGGATGGAAGGAAGGATGGATGGATGGATGGATGGATGGATGGAAGGATGGATGGATGGAAGGAAGGATGGATGGATGGATGGATGGATGGATGGAAGGATGGATGGATGGAAGGAAGGATGGATGGATGGATGGATGGATGGATGGAAGGATGGATGGATGGATGGATGGATGGATGGATGGATGGATGGATGGATGGAAGGATGGATGGATGGATGGATGAATGAACGAACTCAGTCAAGTCACTACCAGCGACTTAGGTACTTGGTGAATGTTGGACAACCAGATCCAATCTGATGCCTTAATCAACTCTGAAACCTAACCCTACAATGTGCTTTCCTAAAAGAAAAGCCCCATGTTCTGAAGACTATGAAAACAGCTATTATTTATCCAATATGATTTGATAGGATATGGCATTTTTTTAACTTCTCTAAAAAGTCAGGGGCAAGAACAGCCCTCCAAAGCTTCACCTAGTCCAGCACTGCTCACAGCTGCATGTCCCTCCCACATGTCCCTTCATGGAGCCCTGAGTCTGGATCGGCTGTGTGAAGCTGGTCAGCTGGCCTGCCTGCCTGGTAGTGGCTGTCAAGCTTGACAGAAATCTGTAAGACCTGCCAAAAGAATTTGGCACCTCCCTCCTTCCTTGTCCCTGTCGCCTGGCAACCAAAGGTCAAGCTTAGTCAGCATTTTTGTTGACAAGCTACATTCTCCAGCCCTCCCCTTCCCCTGGTCCCAGTTCCAATTAAGGCGAGGACAGAGGTAAAATGGTGTGGAATTTGCTTGGAAATAATAACATTTTTTCCCAACAATACAGCCCCTGAGAAGCTCAATTCTGTTGCTACAGCAGACAAGGCTAAATAGTAGGGACTACTTTAAGAAGATTTTCCCAGTTAAGTGTTGTGTGTGTGTGTGTGTGTGTGTGTGTGTGTGTGTGTGTATGTGTGTGGTACTGGGGATTGAACCTAAGGCCTTTTGCATGCCTGGCAAGCACTCTACCACTGTGCTGTATCCTGGGTCTTTTAAAAACATTTTTTTCCTTCAGCATCTATGTATTTATTGGTGCACACACCACAGTATCTCTACGGAGGCCAGAGGGCAACCGTGGTAGTTGGTTCTCTCTGCCATGTCATTTTCCAGGGACCAAACTCAGGTGGTCAGGCTTGGTGGCAAAAGCTATCCTTTGAGCTATCTCAACAACCCCCCTTTCTTACTCTTTAATTTTGAAACAGGGCTTCTCTAATTAACCCAGGCTGGCCTTGAAACTCAGTTAGTAACGCAGGCTGACCTCGAACTCTTAATTCTCCTGCCTCTGCCTTCCAAGTAGCTGGGATTACAAGCCTGCTACCACCAGGCCTCCCTAGTTAAGATTGTAAATCACTTCAACATAAGCTTGGTGAAAGTTGTCTGGGCTGTGACAATAAAGGAAGACAAAGAGGTAGCGCCACTAGGACCCCATGGAGGGACTCACGTTGTTACCCTCTGTCCACATGGATTAGATCTAATTAATATACCTCCTCTGCTAATAATGGAGGTAGCCCCCACTTATCCTTCCACTGCTTCCTATTCTGTGAATGTTGGCAGAGGAGGTCAATGAGGAGCCAAAGGAGGAAACGGGGGGGAATTATATATATATATATATATATATATATGTGTGTGTGTGTGTGTGTGTGTGTGTGTGTGTATGGGTTTCCATCATAAAATAATGAAAGCTCATCTTAGAGTTGTAATCAAACCGTCTCCAAATTCATTATGTTAATACCCCGAATGATTTTAGCACCAATGAGCTATCCCAGGACCCACTGGCATCAGCAAGTACAGGTCAGATTGTGTAACATAGCTTAATGAGTTGTTTTCTCCATGGGGCAACATCATCAAAGTGGATGCGCAGAATATTGGTTGCATAACAAAGGAGGAGGAAGAGAAATGGACAAGGGCTCTGAGAAGACAGGCTGCACAGTGAGGGGTCTCCTGAAGGCAGAAGAACCAGACTGATTACAGACCCCCACTGAGCAAGGGGTGCTCAAGCAGAAGAAACCAGCAGAAGTTTATGGAAAAAATTTAAATTTCATCAGAAACAACTCATCCCCCATTTCTACAAATTCCTATTTGGCGCTAGAAAGCAGCTAAACAGGTGAACCAGAAACCATGTTTACTTTCAGTCCTTTCCTTGCCTGTACCCTAGTTAAGGTGCCAATAATGAGGTGAAGAAAATCACCAGGAGAAAAAGGTCAAAAAGCCCACCAAGAGTAGGTGGGATGGCTCAGCAGGTAAAAGCACTCGTCATATAAGTCTAACCATCAAGTTCAATCCCCAGATTCCACAGTGAAAGGAAAGAACTGACTTCTGGGGAATGGCCTGTGACCTCTACACACACGGCCACATGTGCACCACACACACTAGTCATAATTTTTAAAAATTTATGTGTATGAGTGCTTTGCCTACATGTATGTAAGTGAACCATGTGCATGCAATGCCCGTGGAAGCCAGAAGAGGGCACTGGATCCCCTAGAACTCAAGTTAAGGACAGTTGTTAAGCAGTATGTGGGTGCTGGGAACTAAATCTGGGTCCTCTGTAAGAGCAGCCAGTGCTCTTAATTGCTGAGCCATCTTTCCAACTCAATAATTTTGCTTTTAAAGCCCACCAAGATAACATTCAGGTATTCTGGAAATGCTTCCACAAACTACCACAGACCAGTCCCACACCATTACCGTATGGCTTAATACCTCTAAGTAAGGTAAATGCTGCTCCTAGATAGAAAAAGCCTTCTGGGAGTAATAAGTCTACTTAGGTATTTTTTCCCTACACTCAAATAACAAAATGTAAAAGACATCAGAACCATCTATTCTATCTCCTAACTACATACACACACACACACACACACACACACACACACACACACACACACACATGTGCGCGCACACTCATATACAGTCAAAACTGAACAAATGTTGCTGGTCTTCTTGCCTTGCTGTGCTGTATGGTGGGAACCGCACACTGTGATACAGCAAAATGCTCCAAGTTCCACAGCCTCCAGGGATTGGCACTGAAGGAACTTGGTCGGCATTTCTGTAATATGTACCATCAATATTATCTTGTAGTTCAGAGGCACCTACAGGTAGAATAAAGGCAACAACCTGGGGCGCTCTCCCCCCCCCCTTCTCAGAAATGCTTTTTGTGGGAAAGAAGAAGAAAAGACATATACGGGGAGGGAGAACCAGAAATGCCATTCCCGGCAGAATACTGACAAAAACCCTCTTTAAAGCTCTTCTGAGTAAGAAACTAGAGGAGGATTTTATAAATGTTACTATAATACTGTGTAACTCACATTATACTGTAAAATAAGGAATTAATTCAAAATAGAAAACAATAATACAATGTTTCCTTCCAAGAAACATAATGGTGTGCATCTAAAAACAGTAAACAACTGTCATCATGATAAAGCAGGAAAGTACAAACAGAAATTCTAAGGGTAAAGGGCACAACTACCTGATAGAGTTCCTCAATTTGGAGGAGAGTTCACTTAGCAACAAAGCACCGTTTATGTTCATTTCTCTAATTTTCAAAGGCTATGTCTTAGATGTATTTGATAAGGAAGATATCATTTATAGACTACAGTGCTTCTATAATCCTCCCATAACCCCCCGCCCCCCGGACTCTCTGAACAAATGTTCCTGGCCTTCTTGCCTAAAACTACTTATTTCCTTCAACTGCAGCTAGATCTCTCCTTACCCTAACCCTTCCCCTCTTCCCTTCCTCCTGTCTTTCTTTCTCCCTCTGTGCTAGGGATTGAACCCTGAAACCTGGACATGCTAGGCAAGTGCTCTACCACTAAGCTACACCTCCAGCCCCGGCCTCAAATCCTCAGCTCTTCTGAGTTTTAGGATGACAAATGTACACCACCATGCCTGGCCTCTCTTTCATTTATGAAGCTCAGTACGGAGCCCCCAGAAGACACACAGCAGTATCCTGCTGACCATGTAAGTAAATCAATGCACAGAATATTACATACAATGGGGGACTGTGCAGATATGGTGGTTCACGCCTATAATCCCAGGGTTTAGGAGCTGAGGCAGGAAGATCTCAAGTTTGAGACATTCTAAGACTCTGATTGATGCTAAAGCAGTTTTGTAGAGCACTCTAACCAAATCCAGAGCCAAATCATTTTCCTGTCTCACTCTGCCTTTTCATGAAACAACCCCTTTGTTATCTGCTTTAATGAGGGGAAGGGTAAAATTGACTTCATAACACTTTCTAGAACCAGGCCCTGACACACTGACAGCATCTACTTCTCGTCTTCCAACATCCCCTCTTAGAGAACTGCTGTTGTAAGTTCCAGTACTCTCTGGAGATTGCTGGGCTCTGTCTAGTTACCACAGCTGTAAGCCCAACTAAGGCCAGTCTTTCAGCTTAGTTTACAGCAATCCTCCCGACCCTGGACCTTACAGACTCCCCATCAATTGACTACCACTAAGCAAATTCAGGTCAATGCATACAGAACAGAATGGTCTAGCTCAGTGCATTCTAAAGTCTTGACCTACAGAATTGTGTGATCTCAAAAGCCTGTTTAAAATCTCTGAGATTGGAGGACAATTTGTTACACACTAATAGTTAATTGGAACATGGTCTTTCTCTCTTAATTTCTCCTTTCTCTCCTAAATATGAGCAGTAAAAACCAAAGGCAGTCACGCCAGTATAGCTAGTCCTTGAGCATTTGTTTGGCTCTGAAGATAGTTCAGGCAGAGATCTGGGGGAAGAAATTGAGCTCTGATTATGAGACAAACAAATTAACCACCTACCCTATTACCTTGGTACCCAAGGCCACAGGGCCCCCAAAAGGCACCATGGAAGGCCATACCTGCCTCATGAGCTCCTCTTGACGCATCCTAATCCTCTCTCTCTCCATCTGGATCCTCTGAAGCCGCAGTTTCTGCTGCTGCTGCTGCTGAGTGGTCAGTGCATTGGGCATGCTCATGAGTCCTGTGGGTGCGTTCTGAGTCGGGTGGCTCTGTGGATTCAGGGTACTGGGTACTACTTGCTGTTGGTGTTGGTGATTCATCACTACAGGAGGGAAGAACACATAGATTAATGACCAGGGCCTACAATAGCATATCAAAAGGAGACAGAATGTTTGTCCTTTGGAATATAGATTCCTGAAGTTCCTTCCAAGTGCTTTATTGTTAACCATTACTGTTTAAATAATTATTACCTTAATTTAATTTATAATGGTATAAGTCCTAGACCCACACCTAACTCTGGTCTTGGCTTTTGTGCTCTGTTAAAAATCTTACTTCGTGCCAGGCATGGTGGTGCACACCTTTAATCCCATCACTTGTGAGGGAGGGAGATCTCTGAGTTCAAAGTCAGCCTTGTCTACACACTGAGTTCCAGGCCAGCTGGGGCTTACAGGGAGACCCTGTCTCAAGAAAACCAAAAACAAACAATCTTCCTTTTCCTGACAGTTGTGTGTGTGTGTGTGTGTGTGTGTGTGTGTGTATGTGTGTGTATGCATGCCATAGCAGTCAAAGTAGTTGGTTCTCTTCTTCTACCATGTGTGTCCCAGAGCTCCAACTCAGGTCATCATGCAATGCCTTTACCCACTGAGCCATCTAGCTCCATCCTAGAATATATTTTTAAGCATTACATAGAACACAATAGCAAAAGTTTGTCACAATTTACGAAAGAGTTTTCACCAGAACATCTTGGAGTGTGTGAGTTTTCTCATACAGTCTGAATGTCTAAGCAGCGCAATCGATCCTCAATATGCAGTGAATATACAGAATACTTAGGACGGATGGGTGAGCTGATAAGCAACAGGTAAAACACAGGTACAATCAGGAACCCACACATAAAAAGGGACCCAAACACTTTGTTAAAAAGGAGTAACTTAGGGCCTGGAGAAATGGCTCAGACATTAAGAACACCAGCTGCTCTTGCTGAGGACCCAGGTTCAGATCTTGGTAACCACATGGTGGCTAACAATTGTCTGTAACTCCAGTTCCAGGGGATCTGAAGCCATCTTCTGGCTTCCATGGGCATTGTATGCATGTTGTATACTTACATACATGTAGACAAAACACTCATACACATAAGATAAAAATAAGTTTTAAAAAGTTCTTTTGAAAAATGGAGTCACTCCTGGGGCTGGAGATGTAGCTCAGTTAATAGAGTCCTTTTCTAGCATACAGAAAGTCCTAGGTTTGATCCCCAACGTCACATAAAACCTGGTGTGATGGTGCAATCCTGTAATCCTAACACTCATGAATAGAAGCAAGAGAATTAGAAATTCAAGATCACCCTTGGCTACACAGCAAGTTTGAGGCTAGTCTCGGCTACATAAGACCCTGTGTAAAACAGCAAAACCAAAAAGGAGCACTCCCAAAGGAGCCCACGTCAGATCCAGGAACAAATATTGGATGGAGAGAAAATGTTTGTTTTTACAAGGGAAAAATTAGTGAAAAATAAATTATACACAAACATGTTTTTGATTGAAGAAAGACGTTAGAAGTGTTTTGAAATTTTAATGATTTCTAGCTGCATGTAGTATGGTTTGAATAAGCAAGGCGTGAGTCACCACACCCGGCTTTGCATAAATAATTTTTAAAGTAAAGAAGTCCTGTGATATCCTATAATTAACATTCCCATAAAGATCCATTTTAGGTAGGGCATGGTGGCACATGCCTTTAGTCCCAGCACTCGGGAGGCAGAGGCAGGTAGATCTCTCTGAGTTCACGGCCAGCCTGGTCTACATAGTGAGTTCCAGGCCAGCTGGGGTTACAGGGAGACCCTGTCTCAAAAGTACGAAGAAAAAAAAATATCCATTTTAAAAATTACTAAACCAGACACAGGGACACAAACCTACATTTCAGCTAAGGCCTCAGGAGGACCAGTTGCCTAGTAGTTCAAGACTAGTCTGAGCAACCTAGGAAGACTCTGCCTTAAAATAAAATTAATTTTTTTTAAATTTCTAATTTTATCTCCAAACAATTTACCAGTTAAGTTTGCTTAACTTCTGGTAGGCAATATCATGTAATGAAGAAAACATGTTTTCAGTGTATTTTCTTCTAGGTCAGAATCAAAACCAACAAGGTATAATTATATATTCTCACTTCGTGTCTGAGAGGAAAAAAAATGAAAAAAAAAATCCCACTTCAATGTATGCTGTATGTATCACCACTAGTTTACATGATTAAAACAATGACATGTCTTAATTAGAGTCCAAAAGTCAAATATTTTCTTTATTTTTTGCTGGGAATGGAATCTTGCTTATGAAAACTGTGGTATAACCCCAGCCACTCAGACTGAATATTTAAATCTATTTGCTGCAGATATTATATGGAAACACATCTTTAGATAACTAAAGTTTCTCAAATGAATGTCAAAATAGCCTAGTCATCTATGTATTAAGGGTATGTGCAGCAGACAGGGAGAGGTCCTGCTGAATTCATGAGTCACCACTGTTGAACAAATGGAACCAGCTGGGCATTTCTTACCCCCTTCGTCTGAGGCAAAAACAAAGCGGCCATTCTGATGCCGGAATAGCTGGAAAGGGTACTTCACTTCTAGAACTTGGTACAGCCTCTGCTGAAGGCTTTCGGGGGAAGGTACACACATGGCATTATAGGGAAAATGTTCCTTCAAACACAGACTTACTTAAAACAAAACAAACAAACAAAAATAAATTAAAAAAAAAAAACAGATACCCAGAAGAGCTTAATTTATAAAACCTATCTCAAGCCAAAGGAGGGAAAACTTAATGGAAGAATGGTAATTATCTCAAGGGACAACCATTTCTGAACCCTCTGGAAAAGGATGTTTCTACTTTTCTAATGTAACTACTAGAGACAAATTTATTTATTTCATGTGTATGTGTATGCATGCATGTATGAGTGAGTGTGTGTGTGGTGTGTGGTGTATGGTGTGTGTGTGTGTGTGTGTGGTGTGTGAGTGCATGTGTGGTGTGGTGTGTGTGTGGATGTGTATGTGTATGCATGCATGTATGAGTGAGTGTGTGTGTGGTGTGTGGTATATGGTGTGTGTGTGAGTGCATGTGTGGTGTGGTGTGTGTGTGTGTGTGTGTGTGTGTTGGTGCCCAAGGAGCCAGAAGAACCAACCACCTGACACAGTTGGTGGGATCTGAACTCAGGTCCTCTGGAAAAGCAGTCAGTAAGCGCTCTTAACCACTGAGCCATCATCTCTTCAGCCTGGAATTCAAAAATTGTTTAAATCTGACTTGGGTCTGTCAACCTACTAATGTGACAAAATTGTGTGGAACTGTCTTCAGCACCTTGGGCTCGCTGCCCTGGGTCCTCAACAAGCAGCATGTTCTGTTACTTAACCCACACAGCCATCAGGACCTCTCCATAAGTTTTATTAATGTCTCATTTCTTATCAGGGGGATTTAAGACTCAAAGGAGAGCTCTTCCCAGACCACACCTTGCACATCACAGGGGACATTTATGGGAAATATGGTAAAGCTTTCTTTTTCTTCCATCTAATTTAGATTTGACCATTTAGATTAAACAGGTTAACTGTAGACTCAAAAAGACTAGAACTTGGACAATGGTTTTGTTTTCAAAATGAAGCATGCTCCAGCAGAGCCCATTTACCACAGCATATAAGAATATTGACAATAAGTGAATCCCAGCACTTGGGAGGCATAGGCAGGCAGATCTCAGTGAGATTGAGGCCAGCCTGGTTTACATAGCAAGTCCCAGGTCAGCTGGGGCTACAGGGAGACCCTGTCTTTAAAAAGAGAAAAAAAGATATTCACAATTGCATTACTCATTCTTATAATAGCAAAAGACTGAAAAACGACCTTAATGTCAGCCAGTTCCAGGAGACTATAATCCATCCATTCAGGGGCATTCTAAATAATAATTTCAGAGAATAAAGGAATTATATAGTTGTTTTATGGAATAATCTCTAAGAAACATTGGTCATAGGGACAAAACCTCAGACAGAGCATACATTTAAGCATGACCTTAGTTGTGTAGACAAGGAGGGGCATGTTAGGCATTCAGCAACGCTCTCTAAGATCTACCTGAAACTGGTGACAGAGATGCCTTGGGGAGGAAACTGGGTGTCGAGAACAGGAGACCTTCCTTTTCAAATTCCGCATCATTTAAAGCTCTACATGCACACACTACTTATGAAACACAAGTTAAAAAATAGAATAATTTAATTAAAAGTTTAAAAATCAGAAAACAAAAATCATAGTCCTGCAGGTGTCAAATTCAGTATTTTCCTAGTTTAGTGAAACAAAGTATCCCTCAAATTATTTCAAAAACAACAAAAAGGCTGAGAAGATCATCAAGATCACAGCTGAGAGTCCACACGGTACAGTCCCTCGTTATGGAAAGAAGGAAAATGAAACCCAGAAAAAGCAGGGTTTGATCAGGTCATAGAACTGGTCAGCGTCCTAGAAGCCGGTCCTGACTCCATCAAGCACGTACCAGTCAATGCTCCCTCTAATTGTTTAATTTCCAAAAGTTACTGAGCTTATGAACCTCAACGCTGGCTGAGCTTTTTTAAAGCCACTTGGAGACAGACAGACAGACAGACAGACAGACACACACACACACACACACACACACACACGAGCAACAGGATGCCCACGGCAGAAATGAGGTCACCAGGAAGGAAAGCAAGAACGCAGAATGTCTGAATTTCCAATAAACAAAGTACTCCTTGGGGTGACATTCCAGAACATTTCTGAGAGAAAACAACGATCCCATTTTTAAAATGCTGGATTAAGGCTAGACTACCATACACTGCCTCAAAAGACCTTGCTGGTTCAAGACCTTTGCCAGACAAAGAAAGGAATAACCCAAACACAGAATTTCTCCACTGACATAGGAATGCATTAAAACTAAAGTTGGAACATCCCACCACCACCACCAAGAGGATAAGATTAAATTTTGATGCCTTTTTACACCTTTTGTTCTTTCTGTGGGGGGAGAACATAATTGATTTTCTTCTGTAATTGGAAATTAGTAAAACTTTGCTTTTAATAGGTGCTATTCAGTATAAAAATAAACATCAAGGGGTTGGAGAAATAG